CCCAGTTATTTTCACCTGCCATTGTTTACAGTGGTGGACTGGACCCAGGCTGTAGGGTGTCAAAGATCAAAGTCTGATTTTGGATGCCGATGGCAAAAGAGCAAAAGATCAGATGGCAATAGGTCAGAGGCTTACACAACAAACTCTGTAATTGTAGTCTCACACTATTATTTTTTAGTTTGTAACAGTGCTGCATATTCACACCCCTGTCTGTGCCTCATTTCAAATTACTTGAGCCTCTTATACGAGAGAAACACTAACCTTGAACAAATTGCAGCCTAGCACCATGACATCAAAGAGAGATACCGTACCCATAGTGACCAGATAAAAATTAAACTACTTTAGTGAAGTTGTAAAATTAAATAATATGCTAAACTTGCCTTCTTGTGACCAAACAGGACCAGTACCACCCAAGCAAAAATATAACCCCCCTTTTTATGAAACTTGAGCAAACAAAGAGAGCAGAAGTGCCAACTCGTTAATTATTCATGCCTAGAATAAAGCAATTGGCTATCCTGGCCAAGTATAACTTAGAAAGAACTTCCGCCCAAAAGCAGAGAACTGCATATACACTCAAGAAGAACAGATCGTGCACAAATATTATTTCTCCGCCTACATATCTTTCTGGCGTACCCCCATTTTGCTGGCTCGTGTCATCTTATCTTTCTCGCTCGTCTTATCTTATCTTTCGTACGTCCCTCTCGTAAAGAGCTCTCAGTAATCTGCAGACCGTAGTAATTTGTATAAACTGTTTGAAACCTGTAGTCAGCAAGTCTGCAATCCACTGTAATCGCTGGGTGACAGAACATCCGCATGCTGTAACTAAGAAATCAACTGCTTCTGCCTACGCTGCAAGCCATCAGTAGCGTAAGTAAAATAAACTTTCTGTGTAACCAATGCACTTTAAATCATCTATCTGACGCCTGCTCACCATTAACACCCGTCTGTCTGGTCATAAATCCCCCCTCATGCCAAGCAGGTCTTACCGACCCAGGCTCACAGGTGAAGGGTGCACCGGCATCTGGGCACAACATAGGGGAGGAGGATGCCTTACAGGGGCACACTGCCATGTTATGCAGAGGCCCCAGTGCCAGGAAGGGTGCACCCGAACACAAATATACACCCCCCCCCCCAAAGTCGCAAAGTGCACCTAACAGACGTGCACTAGGTGCAATGACTTGAAAGGAAAGAAAGGCCTGAATGTTCAGTTTGGATACCTTTGATGATTCTGTTGCTATTGGTGTTAAACCAGCAAAGTTATTTTGACTGGCCATCATTTACAGGCTATAGAGGAGAAGGCCTCACTGGGGCACACTGCTATGTTGTGCAGAGGCCCCAGCGCCAGGAATGGCGCACCTGAAAATGCAGTTTGTCACCCACCCATGTCACAAGTTTTGCCTGCCTGTGGACAGAGGTGCAGGGCCCCAGCACCCAGACTCCCCTTGCACCTATCTCCTTGACAGCTGGCAGGCTTCATGGCTGCAGCAGGGCCTGGCAGGCCTGCAGTAGTTTTTTTCACCCCCGCGCTCTAAGAGAGACACAGTCGCAAAAGCACCCTTATCACGAGTTTTGCCTATTAGCAGCCAGAGGTGCAGGGCCAAAGAACCTAACCCCCCACCTGGACCTATCTTCTTGAGAGCTGTCAGGATTTGTGTACACATCAGGGCCTAGCAGGCCTTCAGTTTTCACGCCGCTGTGCCTTAACACACATGCAGTGTCACCTATGTCATGAGTTTTGCTTGTCAGAAGTTTGAGGTGCATTTTCCCAGAAACACCTGCACGTATGTCCTTCAAACTTGGCAGACTTTGTGGCCTCAGTAAGAGCTACCATCCCTTCAATTTTCACTCCACTGTGGCTTAACACACACAGGTGACATGAGTTTTGCTGTCAGGACTTTGAGGTGCAGTTTCCCTGAAATCCCTGCACCTATTACCTTGAAGCTTGGCAGACTTTATGCTCCTAGCAGAGGCTACCATCCCTGCATATTTCATATGAAGCAGCCAAAAAACAACAATGTTATAAATATTTTATTGATTCCCCATTATACTCTATGGGCGAATCTCTGAATCAGCTCCAAGTCAGCTCCGAATCTTCCAAAGTGATTCGGCTGAATTGAATCAGAAAAATGATTTGGATCTCTGAATTGAATCTCTGACATCCAAATCAGCTGAATCTGAATCCAAATCAAATAGTTCCCCATTTGCACAGACCTAGAAGCTACCACCACTGCTGGCCCAGCCACAGACCCTGTTAGTTACATCTCTGGAATATTGTAGAATTAAATCACAAGGCTACCATTCAAGGCAGTCTGTACAATTCTTCACTAATCTGTACAAACAGTGTTGGGGTGGAGACCTATGGTGGATTGGCTGTCCATTCTTACCTTGTCTACCAATCAATTTTACATTTACAAAATCTACTTCAACTAGGAGGAAAGCTCATCTCCACCTCCCAACTTGTAAAATGCTACATTTTAAGGTGACTCTTTGCTTCAAGGTTTTCTGTCAAATGGAAAACAACTTGAAATAAAGTGCCATGGATTAAAAGCTTGGTGAACTAGCAGTAGAAACAAGAGTTTACAGCTCATCAGTACTTTACAAAGTGGTGTGCCTTAGGGATCTGCCTAGCAGGGATGTAACTCTTCTTTTTCTATATGGCATCAGATGTCAACTAATGAATCTATGAGCCACTGTTTGGTATTGTTATTCAATGGGTGGATAACATCTACATTATCTGGAGATTTGTAAAGGTTGCAGCTTTCAATTAAGTGTTATGCCGTTTGTTGGAAACCACATTCTTCCAGGGGATTGTCCAAAATGCTCATCTTATGAAATGTTGTTTAGAAGCGTTGATATCCAGACCTCAGTCTTTTCAGCTTGACCCATGCTTTTCTGTCAAAGTTGTACCTGATGGAGGACTGGTTTGTGTTGGTATAAAATGCTGTAGGAAAAATTTGACCTTTCCCAATGGTCATCCTACTCTACTGCGGCCCATACATTTATTTCACTTTCCTCAAGGTCTTCCAGGAGTTCATAGATTTTTTTCATAGGGTCTGGAAAACAACATTAGGTGCTGGAAGGGACCTCATGAGATTATTCTGTCTAGCACACCCACCATAGGCAGAAAGTTATCTGGGAGCAAGTGACTCCAGCAAGAAATAAATACACCTGTTTTTTAAGGAATCCAGAGTAGGTGTTTGCACAACCTGGTGGGGCGTGGGGGGAGGGAGGGGAACAGGAGGTTCCAGACCCTGGACACATGCACTATAAAGAACTTTTTTCTTATGTTTAGTTTAATTGGCTTTCCTGGAGTCTATGGCCGTTAGACCTTGTTATCCCTTGGGGACCTCTGGTGAACAGGTGTTCTCCCAGGTCCTGACGTACCCCTCTTATGTAATTGTAGGCTGCCACCAAGACCTCCCCTGAGCTTTCTCTTCTCCAGACTGAAGAGTCCCATGTCTCTGCCTCTCCTCACATGGCCTTCTCTCCAGGCCTTGGAACATATGAGTGGCTCTCCTCTGGACTCTTTCAAGCTTCTTCACATCCTTCCTGAAGTGGGGGGCCCAATACTAGATGCAGTACTCCAGCTTCAGTCTCACCAGGGCCAAGTAAAGTGGGAGGATGACTTCCTTGGTCTTGCTTGAGATGCATCGGTGGATGCACGCCAGAGTTTGGTTATCTTTGCCAGCCACAGCATCACATTGGTGGCTCATATTCATCTTGTGGTTTATCAAGACCCCCAACTTCCTTTTGGTCATGGTGCTATTGAGTGTAGCACTACCGAGTCTGTAAGTATGCTGGGGGTTCTTCCTACCAAGGTGCAGCACCTTCCACTTTTCTGCATTGAAGGCCATCAGATTTTGGTCATCCCACCTTGAAGGTGTGTCAAAGTCGACCTGTATTCCTAGCCTGTCCTGCAGTGTGACCGCCCTCCCCTATAATTTGGTATCAACTGCGAACTTGGTCAGTTCACATCTGATTCCCAAATCCAGATAATTGATTCAACTAGTACCCTTTGGGTTTGACCCCGTAGCCAGTTGCCTAGCTATCAGACTATATGATGATCAAAGCCACAGGTCCCCAGCTTAACCATGAGGTCATAATGGGGAACTAAATCAAAGGCCTTCTTGAAGTCCAGATATATGATGTCCACATCATCTCCTTGTCCAGGGCACATGTTATTTGGTCATAGAAGGAGATGAGGTTAGTCAGGCAAGACCTGCCAGTCACAAAGCCATGTTGGCTGGCATTGAAAAGCTTGCCTTTTGTTAGCCTGGTGTTGATGGATCTCTTGACAATTTTCTCCAGGATTTTTCCAGGGACAGATTTCAGACTGATTGGCCTATAGTTCCCCGGGTCATCCCTCCTCCCTTTCTTGTAGACAAGGGACCATATTAGCTCTTTTCCAGTCATCTGGGACCTCACCCAAGTGCCATGATTTTTCAAATATTCCTGCCAAGGGGATGCAATGATGTCTTCCAGCTCTTTCAAGATTCTTGGGTGCATTAAGTCGGGGCCTGTGGTCTTGTGAATGTCCAGTTTCTCACCTGATCCAACTCACCTGATGGGTTAGTGGGTTTCATGTACAAAAAGTTTACAATTTTGGACCATTGCAACTTGAGACCATTGTTCCTTGTTCTGTCATCTGCCATGACTGAGAACAGTCTAGTTCTATCCTTTTTGGAACTGCCCTTCAGGTAGTTAAAGGCTGCTATCAAATCCCCCCTCAGTCTTCTCTTGTGGAGACTAAATAAGTTCAGTTCCTTCAGCCTTTCCCCGTAAGTCCTGTGTCTCAGGCCCCTAACCATTTTTATTGCCCTGCCCTGGATTCTTTCCAACTTGTCCACATCCTTTCTGTAGTGGGGGGACCAAAACTGGACACAGTACTCCAGATGTGGCATCACCAGTGCATAATAGAGTGAAATAATTGCTTCCTTCAATCTGCTGGCAACACTTCTACTAATGCAGCACAGCATGCTGTTAGCATGGCAACAAAGGCACACTGTTGACTCATATCCAGCTTAGTATTGTCCACTGTAATCCCCAGGTCCTTTTCTACAGAGCTGCTACTTGTAAAGTTGGTCCTAAGCCTATAGCAATGCATGGAATTCTTCTGTCCTAAGTGCAGGACTTTGCACTTGATGTTCTTGAAACTCATGAGATTTCTTTTGGCCCATTCCTATCTAGGGACATTTATAGAGGTACTCAGGGAGGTGGGGCACTTTAATTGGCTCAATGATTGTCCAGGTGGAAGGGTGATGACACAGATTTATTGATGCTCAACTTTAAGCACCACTTGTGGAGATAGTCAGCAATGAGTTCCTTGTCCATACACAGTGTCGTTTCCACTTCTGTCATGTCTATTCCTTGGGCTATTATGGTGACATTGTCAGCATATATGTATCACTTCAGTGTTGTCTACAGGAAGTATGAGGTATAAACATTGAAAGGTATTGGTGCTAGCACTGACCCTTGCGGGGTTCTAGTCTTTTGAATTCATTCTCTGCTTTTTTCTCCTTGACTGATAGTGATTGGAATGATCTGCTGGAGATCATCATGTTCTTAATTAAAGCACATAGTTTGTGGTCAGGTACCACAAAGTGCAATTTATATTTGAGGCCTTGATGCCATGCAATATCATAGACATAGATGACAGTAACATAGATAAAGACTGCACCTGTTTTCTGCTTCATTTCAAACCTGTTGTCTATGTATCTCAGTCAGAATATAAAATAATTTAACATACACTTATTAGTGCCAGGCAAATAGTGTAACAAAAGTTCTGAAAATATTCCTATTCGATCACAATTTAAAATAATTCATGTCGGTCATATCTGAATAGCTTTTTCTTTGTTTGATTTACACAAACACCACTGTGATATAACTGTATTGACAGGGCCACCACAGAAACCAGCATTAAGTGTGCATAGTTGAATACTCTAAAAAAGAAAAATACAACATTGCAGCATCAGCATTCGTACCAAGTGAGTGAGTTATTACAATTTCATTCACCCATTCAGGAAAGGGATGGATTATAATATACTAAATTCTCTTTATAAAAATTACTCAAATTTCTGATAGAAATAGAAAAGTTAAATGAAGTCACTAAAATAAAAATAAAATTAAGAGCAACATTTTCACAGACCAAAAGTATAAACGCAATCTTTACCATTTTGTAGGGCATCAGATAAGTATAATGGTCAGTAAAGAGAATAACTGAAGAACAATGGAACAATTTCTGCTTTACATCTCTTATTGGAAAGCACCAGCTGTTCCCTTACTTAGGCTCTGAGCTAATGTTCATCAGTGTCAGTAGGAGTCTTTCAATTAACTTCAATAGGCTTGAGCCAGTCTCTAAAGTGGTCATAATTCCTGTGAGTTCAGTAGCAGAAATGTTCACACATTTGAAGTCTGATTTATTTTCCAACTACAGTGGCTGCCATTCTAAAATCAGCATCAGCAACAGTTGCTAAAAAGTAGTATCTAAGATTATCATCTTTTTTCCACCTCCATATAGAGTTGTAGATAACTGTGATCAGTGTGTGGTAGCATTTAGCAAATGTCATCATATTTGAGCAGTATTATGCCCTGTGTAGTATGCCATTGTGCTTCACCTTTGAACAATTCACTTAGTATGCAATCACATCTAATGACAAGATACACAGAAAGCAAGTTATAATACAGACCACTTGTTCTTCTCAAGCTCACAGATGTGAAAAAGTGTAATTCATGCAAATGTTGAAACTCTCTATGTTGTACCAGGGCACATACAATATATGCTGGTATTTACTTTTCTAATTAGGGAAACATGACTGATGCAGACAATTAAGATAATAAAATACTTCTACAAGAGAATTAATCTTTTCTTTGTGATCCAACCTGCCCCATCCAAGCTTGATAATGTTATTTACCTCAGAGATAAAAGTATGTGAGAATGTAATTGGAACCGTTTGCCATGACTGGCTGCTGGGATAAGAGACCAGGCAATTTGCTTCTCATATATCCAGAAATTAAAAATGAAGGACTGACCACTTGACACCACTGAAGTTCTTGAAATAAAGCCTGCTGAGCTCAATTTGTTGTAACTGCTAAATGATTCCACTCACCAATTTGAATGCATGATGAAATTCCTATTAGAACATGGCACTGTAATAATTGCCAGCATAATGAAAGTGCCAGAAACTGAATACAAATATTGTTCTGTTAACCCCCTGTCTTCAGGTCTGAAATTTAAAAGGATATTTTTCAAAGGGAGAAATTTTATATTAATAGATAATAGCGGTATTGTTTTGGATTGTGAAAACACCTACTCTGTTTTCTGTAAATTGATTGAGTTGACCACTGCTGTGTCTATTTCAGCTCCAGAATTTCAACTGTGCAATAAGAGGACCAAACAAACAAACAAACAAACAAAAAATGGAGAAAAAGTGATAAAATTGTTCAGCCAATCACAGAAAGTGACTAAGGTGATATCTTCCTGATATCTTTAATTTTGAAATTGCATAAAGTTTGTGACTATGCTAAAATAATAATATTTGGGGGTCTTATTGTACTTTCCAGGGCATTTTTTAGGTTCTCAATTCCCAAGGATGAGTTTCTTTTTAGGTGCTGAAATCTGAATTTAGCTGCCTATGTATAGATACCAAGACTTGAAAATGTTGGACTATATGATGTCTACTGAACCAATCCAATCTCTTGGTTTAATATAACATATTTAATATTCATAGTGGTGATACATAATAACAGCTTTCATATGTGATAAATCTCTTACAAAACGGCATTTTTTTACCATTACCAGTGTCTTTCTCTCCATCCACGTCCACAGAAGGCAACTCACTGTACAGATGCATAATACAAGCCAGTCCCCCTCCAAGATCCTCACTAAAGCCTTCATTTTTCTTCCATTCACATTGCCTTGATTAAGTGAGCATTCTATGTTCTCAGTATGTCTAATGCATTAAAAAGCATGGAATTCAATCCTTTAATTATAAATGCTTAAAGGAAAAAGCCCATTCTGTGTACTCCAGATATGTTATCAGCTTACCTTTTTCAAATGTTTTCTATTTCAGAAGCTGGATTCCCAAAGAGATTTATCATAGGCATGAGGTCTGGATAAGAGTGGCTCTTACCCAGTAGGATATGAATAAATTAATTCCATAACTGTAACACATCCACCCCTACTATGTATGACATGCTTTTAACAAGAAGGAAACAGTTTGTACTGAAACAAAATCTCATGAAACTTAACAGCATTAGGAAATAATGCAGTCTACTCAGCTTAGTTTCCCTAAATATTTTATAAAATCACCTGCAGCAGGACATACCCCATTCCTTTAGCAAAACAAGAGGTCTGGCAACTGGCAATCAATTAAAGACTCAAAGCAGAAAAAAGAGTAGTGTACTGTGATGTTCAATACAAATGCTTTGGCTCATTTCTAAATGTTAGCTAA